GCTTTTGATGAGCTGAAAAGGAAGCTGACTTCTGCACCGGTTCTGGCTACTCCGCAGAGCGGGATAGAGTATCTTGTTTACACGGATGCTTCGTTGCAGGGTCTTGGATGTGTATTGATGCAGGAGGAGCGACCGATTTCTTATGGATCTCGGAAACTTAAGCCTCATGAGCTTAATTATCCAACACATGATTTGGAGTTGGCAGCAGTGGTCTTTGCCTTGCGTATTTGGAGGCATTATCTGTTGGGTGAGTCCTTCAGATTATTTAGTGATCACAAGAGTCTGCAGTACTTGTTCACTCAGCGGGAGCTAAATATGAGACAGCGCAGGTGGTCGGAGTTTGTAAAAGACTATTATTTTTCTATACAGTACCATCCAGGGAAAGCGAATGTAGTGGCGGATGCACTCAGTCGCCGACCTGTTGGTAGTCTTTTTGCTCTATTCACTACTGAGTGGAATGCTTTAAAGAGTGTGGATGAGTTATCGGATGCTTTTATGGCTTGCATGGTGGTTACACCTTCCATCATTCGCAAGGTTTTACAAGCACAACTCACCGATCAGCAGTGTGTCGACAAGGTCGCAGAGATAGCTTCCGGAGAGGTTCCATTCTACTATGTTGGGGCTGATGGAGGTTTAAGGTACAAGGGACGGTTAGTGGTACCTTCTGCTGATAATTTGAGGAAGGATGTGATGACTGAGACTCATCACTCTGAGTTCTCTGTTCATCCAGGAGGTGATAAGATGTATCAAGATATGAAGTAGCAGTTTTGGTGGGCAGGTATGAAGAGGGACATTGCTCTTTTTGTTTCTCAATGTAGTACTTGTCAGATGGTTAAGATTGATCATCAGAGGCTGCTAGGAGCTCTACAGCCACTACCAATTTCGGAGTGGAAATGAGAGAGCATATCTATAGATTTTGTGGAAGGGTTGCCAAATTCTTTCAAAGGGCATAATTCCATATGGGTCATTGTGGATAGGTTGACCAAGTCAGCTCATTTCTTGCCTATTTGCACTGACTACACTTCGGAGCAGTTGGCGAGGCTTTACATTTCAGAGATTGTGAAGCTACATGGCATTCCATTGTCTATTATATCGGACAGGGATTCGAGCTTTGTATCTGGATTTTGGAAGAGTTTTCAGCAGGCTTTAGGTACGGAGTTACACCTTAGTACTGCTTATCATCCTCAGACTGACGGATAGACTGAGAGGGTGAATCGGATTATGGAAGATATGCTTCGGTCGTGTGTTCTAGATTTCAAGGGCCACTGGGAGGAATATTTGCCACTTGTGGAGTTTGCTTATAACAATAGTTTCCAGAAGACTATTGGTATGGCACCATTTGAGGCATTGTACGGTCGACCGTGTCGGTCACCTGTTTGTTGGATGGAGGTTGGAGAGAATCGATTCTTAGGTCCTGAGTTCATCAAGGATACCTCTGAAAAGATTACTCTTATTCGAGATCGCATGCGTACTGCCCAAAGTAGGCAGAAGAGCTATACTGATCGTCGTACTCGGGCTTTGGAGTTTCAGGTTGGGGATCAGATTCTACTCAAAGTGTCTCCTATGAAGGGTGTTATGCGCTTTGGGAAGAAAGGGAAGTTGTCACCGCGATTTGTTGGTCCATTCATGATTACAGATCGCATTGGAGCTGTTGCTTATCGGTTGGCACTTCCGGATACTTTGGATCGCGTCCACAACGTGTTTCATGTTTCCATGTTGCGGAAATCTCTTCGAGATGAGGATCGGTATCAGCATATCGATGTTGGGGAGATTGCGTTGCAGCTGGATGCAACTTATTTAGAGCCACCGTGTCGTATTGTCGACCGACGAGATCAGATTCTTCGTAATAAGGTTATTCCTTTGGTTCGTGTTCAGTGGAGTCATCACAATGAGTCTGAGTCCACTTGGGAACGAAAGGATGTCATTCGCTCACGGTTTCCTGAAATATTGGAAGAAGGTAAGAGTGAATTCCGAGGACGGAATTCCTTTTGTTAAGGGGGAAGAATGTAATACCCCTAATTTTAAAAAGGATATTCTTAGTATTTAATGATATTTAATTTATTATTTAAGTGCATTTTATTTGATTATGTGTCATTATTTTTTTTATTAAGTGCTTAATTGTTTTCTTTTGTGGTGATTTAATTTATTTCTTTTGTGGTGATTTAATTTATTTAAATGATATTTATTTTTAGTATTTGATTGGAATTACTTGCTAGTGTTTTAATTATTTAATTGGCATTAATGGGTTAAGTGTAATTGGTTTAGTTATTTGATTGGAATTACTTGTTAGTGTTTTAATTATTTAATTGGCATTAATGGTTTAAGTGTAATTGGTTTAATTATTTTATGTGTGTCTTATTTTATGTGTGTCTTATTTGGTTTAATTGGGTTTACTAATTATTATTTTGTTCAATTAGATTATTTGTTAAGTATTTGATGGTGAATAGGGTAATTAGGTAAATACATCTAACTAGGGTTTTAATTACAGTATAAATTAGGATTTTATATTATAGCCGTCGTAGGTTTCTACGTTAATTGGATGGGCCGGTTAGGATTGTGAGTTGGACTTAAATGAACCTAGGGTTTAGGAAAACTCTATAAGTATAAGGTAGACGTCTGTGTAGGGTTTTTTAAACAAAGCACACGTTTTGTGGAAGTGGAGAAGGAAAAACGCAGTTTTTCACATTCTGCCAAGGTTTGATCAAAGCTCCGATCCCGCTTCGTCCGTGGTCCGATCGAGCTGAATTTTGGAGGAGAGGTTTACGACTCAGTAACGCACAATCTGAATGGTGGGGATCAGAGTTTGACCTCGGGAACAGTGATTCGTACTCGTGAACAGTAACTGGGTCACATAGGTTTTTTCCATTCTGCCCAGATTTCATCAAACATTCGATCTCACTTCGTCCGTGGTCCGATCGAGCTGAATTTTGGAGGAGAGGTTCATGACTTAGTGACGCACAATCGGAACGATGGAGATCAGAGTTTAACCTCAGGAACAGTGATTCGTACTCGTGAACAGTAACTGGGTCGCACAGGTTTTTTTTTCCATTCTGCCCAGGTTTCATCAAACATCCGATCCTGCTTCGTCCATGGTCCGATCGAGTTAAAATTTGGAGGATAGGTTCAAGACTCAGTGTCGCACAATCTGAACGGTGGAGATCAGATTTTGAGTTTAGGAATAGTGTTTCGTACCCGTGAACAGTAACCGGGTTTTGGAACTCGCCGGGATTTTTTAAGAAGACGACGTTGAAACTTTGAACAAAAGTTTCTAAGGCAAGATTCTATCCTTACTCTTTCCCTTAGGCTTCATACTCTTTGCACTCTTAAATGATTTCAGGATTAATGAAGATTAAACCAAACTAAAATGATATCTGTTTTGCTATGAAACTGGTAGTTACAGTAGTATTGTATGCTTGTTCAACCTAGACTAAGCATGTTTGTGGATGCATTGTGGTTCTGTGGTTCACATTTTTCCTTACCACTGCTAGTATAAATTATTGGAAGGATGGGTCTAGATGATAGCTATCTTAACTTCTGTAATAGTAACTGTTGGAACTTAAATACTAGGAGGATTTGAGTTTAACACTAGATCGGTTTTGTGGAACACTATAATTTGAGCATGTCTACATACATACTGTGAATATTATTTTGATGCTTACATTATCACAGTTAGTATCAACTGTGGAGGTTAGGATTTTGTGATACATACCCTACATATCTGTATGTCATTTGTAAGGTGTTAAATGGAAGTTTTAATTAATTCTGTCTTTATATCAGACTAAAGGGAACAACTTAAATTGGGCATGTATATATTGTTGTTGTGACTTTGTTTATCAATGCTTATTTTATCACTACTAACATTGAATGTTGGATGTTGAAATTTAGTTGATATATACTTGATTTATTGGTATTATTGACTACTGGAGGATTGGAAAGTAGGCACCGGTATGGGACGGTGGCACACTAAGGATGGGTTTGGTTTTTAAAACAATACCATTACCCACCTACTTGGAATAAGGATGGGATTAACTAAAAGTTAAGTCCCGTGGATTTGTATTGTCATGGAAACTACTTGTTGAGCTGCAATACCTGGGATTTTGGATGGATTTTATATATGTACTGTTCTGGTGCCTCGGTATGAGCTTAAGCCTCAGGACCGATGGCTAGGGAGCGTATATGCATCGGGATGTGTAGCTGGCTACGATGGTTGGAGGTGTACCCTGTTTAGGTATAGGTACATATGCCCACTTCGTGTGCGTTTTAGCATGTTACCTCTATTCAGGTTGAGACCGGCCTATAATCCAGTGAGAGTCCTTTAGTGTGACTATATATATATATTTACGGACTATTAGTTATTGTTGAATTGTTTAGGATGTACATGCGTATCGGTCCTCTGTTTGGATTGTAGTAGTATAGAACTTGCGCGTGGGCTTGACCCACTTCTATTTTTCAGGTACACGACAGTTCCAGGCTTAGACGTGTTCGTGCTGAGCAGAGGTCTTTATTCATTCTTCCGACGATGTAGGGCTCTCTCTATAGTTTTATTTCTGGACGTTTATTACAGTTGTTCTATCTTCCGTTTGGATGTTTAATAGGGGTCCACTAGAGATGGATTCCCAAGTTGTAAACTGATGGAGTTTTGGAGTTTGGGTTTGATGGATTTTAATAATTATAATATTTTGCGGATTCTATTTTTAGTTCCTTTCAGCTTTAATTTCATTTCTTAATTTATTTTGTATTCCGTGTTCATTATAAAATATTAATTGTTTGATATTCCCTCGGGTTTGGGCCTGGGCCTGATCAACCCGTGTCTTGGATCCGAGGGGTATCACACCTCCCCTCCTTGGTGGAGGTTTCTCAATGACCAATGGTTCAACTAATTGACATGTCCTTGAGTTATGACCACTTTCCTTACATTTTGAACATTTTACATATTCATTTGACCTACTAAGCTTGGTTACACCCTTTGTATGGTGGTCATCATTCTTCTTATTCCTAACCTTCTTTGGTCTACCAGTGGGTTTCCTATAGTATAGTGGAAGTAATGGGTGAATGGGGTCTGTTTTCATCAACCTCCCCATTGGAATTGGCAAGATTATACCAGCATAGGACTTCAAATAGGCTTCTCTGTGGTAGTATGGGTGAACGTATGCTTCAAGAGAGTCCCTCTTGGTAAATATGCATGTTACGGCATGCCTACAAGGGATACTAGTCACATTCCAGACCCTCCAACTGCATGATTTATTCTCAATGTCAACTGCCTCACTAATGCCATAGCATTGTACCTCATATTTTTTATCACCAGCATATTGCACATTACACATTCTAGCTTGAAGTTTAACTTTATTCAAATGATTTTGTACTTCTGGACATAATAACTCACCCTGTGCTAGCATCCATTCTCTCTTGCATTGGAACCTTAGCATTAGGTGTCTTCTAATCCACTCCAACATGATTATGATTGGCTTATCCCTTGCTTCAACAAGAACTGCATTCCAACTCTCACACATGTTGTTAATGAGCATATCATTTTTTGAAATATTCAACTGGCACTTTCCTCAACCATTCATAAGCATCAACATTCAAGTCCCTTAATTTCCTCATATGTTGTTCAAAATCTGCATCTGTATAAGACCTTGCTGCCTCCCATAACTCATTTTTCAGTTGCTGTCCTTTGAATCTGAGCTTGAAATTCTCATACAAATGCCTCACACAAAATCTGTGGTCTGAACCTTCCATCATGTGATCAAAGGTTTCTACTAAACCCTGTATATGAGATAAAATACCAGAATATTTATGTTAATAGAAACAACATCAACTTGTTAAAAACATTAATTAAATAGTAAAACACAATTGCAAACTGAGAATATGTACCTTCTGTCTATCATTTATGAAAGTTGTACCGTGGTAGGACCCTATAACATCAATCAATTCTCCCATAAACCACTCCCAATAATCTCTTGTCTCAGCCTCCACTATTGCAATTACAACTGGAAAAATTTGGCCATTCCCATCATTTGACACTACACTCAATAGATGACCACCATATGGCCCTTTTAGAAAGCAACCATCCACACCAATTAGGGGCCTACAACCTTCTTTAAAACCAGTTTTCATTGCTGAATAACATATAAAAACCCTTTGAAACCTTTTCTCATTCTCAACACCAGTGGGCTCAGTTTGTAGTTTAACAACACTGCCAAGGTTTGTTCACAAGATCAAACTACAATAATCCCTCATTTTTTCATACTGTTTTACAACATTTCCCTCAATCAATTCTAATGCCTTCCTCTTAGCCCTATACACTTTGTGTTTAGATACATCAATGTCTAAATCAGATGCAATATTGGTCCTAAGTGTACTTAAAGGCATCTTTGGGTTAATTCTCAATTGTTCTTAGTATCTGTTTGCTAAATAGGAAGATGATGCTTGTGCATTGGTGTGAAACCAAAGGCAGTTTGTGTGTTCTGATACATATGTCTTAACAACTAAGCAATTTTCATCTTCTGGTTTGCTTGCATATATCCTTCAACCACATTCAGCCTTGCATACTGCATTTACCCTATCTCCATCATTTCTTGTGAATTTTATATCAAACTTGTTCTTCAATGTTGTTTCCCTTAATGCCAACCTAAAATCTTCAGCTGACCCAAATTTCATGCCTACTTCTAGTTCCTTTTCCCCCAAATCCCTTGAGGGAATAAACTCTTGCTGCATAGAACCACTGTCAAATCCATCATCATCAGATCCACATAAACTTATTAACTCATCATTTTGACAATTTGGGCTAGACACATGAGCAATGAGGGTTTGGTGTATTGCATTGTCCCACCCTAATTCACTATCTGAACCTAATTCACCATCTAACCTGCCACATTTTCTACATTGCTCAACAAAGGTACAACAATGTAAAGTTTCACTTTACTACTTTCCCTATGGGCTTCATGGTCATAAAACATTCTAAATACATCTAGGTTACACTTGACTTCTCTAAAGCTTTGTCACTCATAGGGTACTTTGTAAAAAACTTCACTGATATCCTCATATCCTAACTTACTTGCCATCCCTTGAATCTCAATCACTGACATCAAGTCAGGGTCTACTTTCTCAAAGTGTGAGATATTTCCTCTTAGGTATGTCATAGGGGGTGATTTCTCAAAAATACCCCCATGATGAAGTTCAATTGTGTAAAGACCATCCATCTACAATAACAAATTACAATGACAAATATGGGGGGTATTAGTTGAAACAATACCAAATTTTAGATACCAAAAGTGCAAAATTAAAGTAAATAAAATTTTAATATTGAGGCAAAATTAATAACAGTGGCACAAGCAAAAAATTTAGATACAATAAACAAATTAATATATAGTACTAACAGAAAATTTAGATACCATAGAGTGCTTACAAGGTTATCACAGTGTTAAGGCAAAATTAAGGTAAATCAAATTTTAATAATGAGGCAAAATTAATAACAGTGGCACAAACAAAAAATTTAGATACCATAAACAAATTAATATATAGTACTAACAAAAAATTTAGATACCATAGAGTGCTTACAAGGTTATCATAGTGTTAAGGCAAAATTAATAACAGTGGCACAAACAAAAAATTTAGATACCATAAACAAATTAATATATAGTGTTAACAGAAAATTTAGATACCATAAAGTGCTTACAAGGTTATCACAGTGTTAAGGCAAAATTAAGGTAAATCAAATTTTAATATTGAGACAAAATTAATAACAGTGTGTAATACCCCTAATTTAAAAAGGATAGTCTAAGTATTATTTTAATAGTTTTAATTGCATTTAATTATTTAGTTGTTTTTTTGGCTAATTGTTTACTTGTTTAATTGATTTAATTATTTGTTTAAATTGAATTGAATGTGATGATGTGTATTTATTTAGGAATTTAATTGTTTTATTTTTATTTTTATTTTATTTATTTTATTTTTATATTTTTAAGGAATTGGATATGGATAGTAGTAATTGACCAATCAATTGGGCTCCATGGACTACTTGGATAAGGGGTTTAATGGGTACGGATGATTACCTATGTATATGTATATTTAATAAATAAATAAATATATATATATATGTAAGGAAAGTCCCTTTAATAATAATCTGATATATATTTATATATTATATATAAAAAGGGGTACACATATATTATACGTAACATATATTTAGTTACCTTTTTAGTATTTAAATTTTATTTTATTTTATTTTTATTTCATTTTAGTTTGTCTTAGAATGGGAAAAGGATTAGGGTTATTTTAGTTGCCTATAAATATATAACTATAGAGTTGTGAAAGAGGTTAGAAAATATATCACGTACTATATTTTAGAGAGAGAAAGAAGGAAAAGGAAGGAAGAGAAAAAGGAAGAAGGAGGCTAGGGTTTTTATCAAATCGCTAAAGGCAAGTTTTAAATTTTCTCTTCTCCTTTGATTCATACTCTATGCATGCTAGATTAATTCTAGGTTCTTTAAATAAATTAATTGGATCTAATTACATAGATTTATTTTGAAATTTCAGTTTATGGGTTTTAATAATGGGTTTTAATTTTTTTTGCCTACACTATTGGTGGCCTTGGTTTTAATTTAATTTTTTTTTTTTTTTTTCATGACTTATGTTAGCATGAATCAAGTGGTGTGTTTAAATATAGAATTAGAATTTGTTTCTACAGAAAGCATGTACGCGAAACAAGGAGGTCAATACAATGGTAGAAAAAAATAATAAAAACAATTAAATAAAGAATTCTTTTTCCATGCATCAGTTTGTATGCATGTGAGTAAAGTTAAATTAGTGATGCTTGTTCCATGCATCAGTTTGTATGCGTGAGTAAAGTTAAATTACTATTTTTACAAGCTATGCACGCTGAACGAGGCAAGCTAAAAAGTGGCATGAAACTGGGTTTGTAGCAATTCGTAAACTGGAATTTGTTCTTTCATGAATTGGGCACGCCGATCGAGAAAGTCTTGACAATTCCTTTAAAAAAAAAAACAGATTGTTATATAATGCCATGATATAATGATTGGTACTATTATGGATATAATGATTAGTATAATGATTGGTATTATGATTAATTTATTTTGTTTTGATTAAATAGTTTTTGCATTAAATATTTTTAATAGTAATCTATTTAATGTTAGAATATTAAATTAATATTTGTTAGTTTTGATTAATGGATTTGAATTAAATATTTATTTAATTTAAATTGGTATGCATGATCTAAGTTTACATGCTAATGATGGAATTTAATTAATTTTGAAAGAATAAATTAATTAGATATTGCTGGATTAAATTATTTTAATCTATTGCTTAGATTTAAATTAATTTAATCAAAATATGGAGATGTACAATTTAGTTGAGATGCATTTTAATTTCGTGTAATGAAAAATTAAATGCATGAAACTTAGAATTGATATTTTTGCTCAAGTAAATGCAAAAAATGTATATATGATTAATATAATGTTTATATGTAAATATTATTTACATTATCTTTGGATTGGAAACTTTTCTTTGGTTATGATGTGGATTAATGCACCATTATAGGATGGGGGGCATATTAGGGACGGATTAACTTAAAAGTTAAGTCCTACCTATTTTTAATAAGAGAACGGATTAACCATAGTGTTAAGTCCTACTTATTCGTGTCAGGTCAACGGAATAGTTGGATGACATATTATTAAAATAATAATTGGATAGTTTATTTTTGATGGTTGGATAGGACGGATTTTAAATATATAATTATACACCATGATGTGAGCTTGAGTCTCAGGATCAGTGGTTAGGGTGCGTATATTGCCAGAGATGTGTAGCTAGATATAGCGTAGTTGTGTACCCTGGTAGGTCTAGGTACTCATGCCCACTATATGTGCGTTTTACATGTTGCTTACTATTCAGGTTGAGACAATTCTATAGTCTAGTGAGGTTCCTTTAGTGTGTGTATATCTACATATGAACTATTTAGTTATTGTTGAATTAATTAGGATGTGTACGTGTATCGGGTCTCTGTTTGGGATGTAGTAGATTAGAACTTGTTTATGGGCCTGACCCACCATTATTTTTCAGGTGTTCGTCAATTCTAGTCTTAGAGATTGTTCGTGCCAAGTAGAGACAGTCATTCACTCTTTCGACTCTACGTAGGACTCGTCTTCATTAGTTACTTATTATTTTTATTTCAGTTCAGTTATTTCAGTTAGGATATTATTAGGGGTCCACAGGATGGATTCCCGAGTTGTAGTTTAATTAATTACTAGTATCCAAAGATTGGAGGATTTTATTATTAGATTTTTAATTATTATTTATTTGAGGATTTTAAAATAGGGATTTATTATTTAGTTTCCTTCAGCTTATTATTTATTTATTCTTTATTATTCTTTTTGTATTCAAATGCTTGTTTAAATATTAATTGTTTGATATCCCTTGTATTCTGTGCTCGGACGTGATCACCCGTGGCTCTAGAATTGAGGGGTATCACACAGTGGCACAAACAAAAAATTTA